TCTTAATCTGTCTCTGTTAATTTAATTTTAGCCAAGCTAGAAGAACTTAGAAGGTAGGAGAAAAAGTATTAATTTTTTTAGCCCTTACCTGATCACCTCCAGCAGGGAGGGAAGGAGGGAAGAGGGGAAGGGAATTGGAGTAGGGAGGCTGAGAGGGAGAAGGGGAGAGAGAGAGAGAGAGAGAGAGAGAGAGAGACTTCAGCCGTAATATTTTTGTTGTTGTTGTTAAAAATAAACTGAAGCCTAAATGACAATATGCTAGATTTATTAATTATGAATTTTAGGTATGTAATTGTTTGTTTATTATACTCTGAACCTCTCTGAGTTTTTAAGATTAAAAAATTAATCTCGCATTTGCTTGCGCTAAGTAGCAGGCTGCCCTCTACAGTATCCCCCAGCCAACTTCACTGGTAGATTACCTGTCTGACCACACATCTGAGCTTTCACTTTCCCTGCTTTATCACATGGCCCTATTTACTGCCTACTTAACACCTATCACTGTCAGGAAGTGGAAGTGTCCTTTTTGCTTATCTTTTAATCATCTGCCCTCCCACCTTTCCATTGGAATATAAACTCTAGGAGGTCAAAGACCTAGCCTGCCTTCTACTGTAAGCTGGAGCTCTCTGGTACTGCCTGGTCCACAGCTGGGTCTTGCCTACTGAATGAATGAAAGCTGCATTGTAAAGCAGAAGGCAATTTTCTTCCTTAGCTCTTCTATCGGCACTTAGACACGGCTAGCTGCCTGCAGTAGTTTCCAACTTTCTTTCAATGTTAAACTGGAAAAATTTTTGCTTTTCAGAAAGGAACAAAGATGAGGCTATACATTCTTTTTTGATTTTCATATTATTCCATTTTTCCTACTCAGGAAAAAGGTCCTCTGAAACTCATGCTAGGACATCACTTCAACTGACTTGACCTCTTTTCCCGGGCCAGGGACTTTGTCTTACTGTGGAGGCCTGCTCTGCCCAGCGGGTCCCAGGAGATCCTATAAGTCACCCAAGGGATCTGTTTCTTAAACGTTCTGAGTGCCTTGGCTTTTCTTCAAACACTTAAAAACATATTCAAATAAAAAAGGCAGTGAGGAATGGGTGAAAGAGTCAAAAGGTACAAACTTCCAATTATAAAATAAGTCCTGGGGATGTCATGTGCAACGTGGTGACTATAGTTACTAATGCTCGGCATTTTATGTGTGAAAGTTGCTATGGGAGTAAATTTTAAAAGTTCTCATCCTAAGAAGATACGATTTGTAACTATGGACGGTGATAATTGTTAACTAGAATTATAGCCGTGATCATTTCACAATATGTACCGATATCAAATCACTATGTTGAACACCTGAGACTAATATAATGTTATATGTCAATTATATCTCACTTTAAAACATTAAATAAAATAGGAAACTTTCAAAAAATCTTAATACTGTAATTTTATTACATAAAAATAGAAACCACATATTTGCTAAAAATGGATTATTTTATTAATTTGTTTGCCCTCGTATTATTTTTTATTATTCCTTATTATCTTAGGCAGACACTCCCCAGTCGTTTCCTTTACATTTGCATTTTTAAAAGCACTTTTAAAGGGAACCACCTGAATAAATTATTGGCCGATTTTTTAAGGACAATATTCTTAAAAATGAGCAATGTCATTGTAATAATGATGCCATCATAATATTTGCCCCATTTATCTGAGTCTTCTAAGATTTGTCTCAAAAACATATGCTAGACAGAGCTGTATCTTTACAAATGCAAATGTTAAGGTGCTTTGCATGAGATGTATAATTTTTCTGGCATAACTGTTTTAAATACCAACTTGTGAAATTGCAAGTAGGAAAAAAATAGCATGTGTGTCATTAAAATTTTCAGGTGTACAAATGTCCGGTTTCCATTCTCAGAACCATTGTAGTGCATGTTTCTGAAAGATTTTGTCTAGAATTCGCCTCTAGCAGGAGGGAGGACAGACCAGAGTCCACTTGCAACCTGGCCCTGAGCCACTGAGAATGAGGAAGAAGCTGGAGCAGAAGGGCCATTTGTCTCTGTTATTAGGAAATAAATCAACCTTTGTTTTCCTGGCCGAACTCAGGGAATGTCATTATTACCAAATAAATTGTGTCGTTACAAATCAATCAGGCCACCTTTCATTTAAATGTGAATCACTTCAATTGTCTGGGCTTCAAACTTGATTCCACCCCCACGGAAATAAATGATGAGATATATAGATCATTCAAACTCTACATTTGGTACAAAATGTTCTACAAAAGCAAGTTTTTTTCAAGATTAGTCATCAAACTAACTCGTCATTCAATATCCTCTCTTAATAAAGGGGGTGTCATAACGCTTTCATTGTGAATATAAGATCAACTTGGCAAAAAGTTAAAGGCTGTCTTTCTCGGAATATAGCAAAAATGACACTTTGAGATAACGGTGAATGAGGCAGTTATGTTTGATTACCATTTGCATATTTTAAGATCTGTCTTCTAATGATAAATAGAAAACAGAGGTATAAGCTTTCATTGCATTTTGAGAAACTTTCCTCAGGACTTAAAGACGGTGGATTGATATTTACTTTTAAACACGTTTCAACCTACATTTTGCTGAACAGGAATGTTGTAACTAAAACAACCTTAGATTTTTAAGTTCTGCTACTGGAATTTTTCACATGACTATAATTTCATTAATGTACAGTTAGTTATAAGCAACATAACTGTGAACTAATGATGCTACTCAGCCAAAAGATTGCCCCATTTCCCTCTGGTTTTTGCTCTAGGTTCTCACACTGTCCTTTCTCCGTGACCTCTCTCCCACCTCTGACCTCCTCCCCAGTTTTCACCCTTGCTTTAACAATTGATTTATGACGGGCCCAGGGAAGGGTCAAGCCCACTTTTATGGTTTGCTTAAAATATTTCTTTTAGAGTGAGCATCAGAAGTGGTCTTCAATCCCTGCTAAACTGTTTCCCTAAGACCTCAAAAGAGTTTCCTTTACTGCCCATCATCGCACCTTATTTATAACGTTTGTACTTGTGAAGAGAAACTCATTAAATAAGGCAATTTTGAAACTTTTACCAAAATGAATAACTTATAAGAGATGCAAAATTTGCTTCCCCGCCATGAGAATATCTGTGAATGCGTACAAAACCCAGGGTGGGGAGGCGTAAGGAAGAGAAAACAAAAAGCCACAGAAAATAATTATTAGCCTAGGATTATTTCTTTTATGGGATCTATTTTTCTTTTACGCTTGACAGTTTGATCTTCGCTAGCACTGAAGCCTGCAGATCTTTGGGTATACTCTTACATTCATGGCCGTAACAGTAAATTTCACCCTTTTGTTTAATTTGACTTCCTGTTGTTGTTTCAATGTACTAAGCAATCGCCAAATTTAGGAATGCTTTTTAAAAACTCTGGTTAATATAACTGACAATTTTTTTTTACAGTTTAAAGATTTTGAAGATAGAAAACGATTTGAAAGATATAGGGCTATTTATTTTCAAAATACATATACAGTCTGAAGACCAAATAGTGCCTAAAAACAGGAGGGATTAAGCTAAGATTTCTGGCCTTAATGTTCTAATTTGGATCTTAACATTGAACTTTAGATTGCTGTGAAATATTTGCTGCCCTGGTGAGCTTTCTTTAAATAACACCATATGATACTTCTATAGATGGCTTCCCCAAACTTATTGATCTCCCCCCTCCTAGGTCATTAAAAATGTGATTTATTAGTCTGACATTTTTAATAGGGCAAAGCTCAGAGGTTTATTGTGATGGCTTTCTCGCTTCCATGTTGCTTTCAGCTGCTACCACGACGCAAAAGCTGTCAATATAATACTAGGTTGCTTTCTAATAAGAAACTGGCTTTTTAAAATTTATTTATTTAACTAAAGGGCAATCTCTACATATTTAAAGTGTTTTACACCTATTACACAGCAATGAATTAATTTTTCCCATTTCACCCTTCTCTTTCATGTGAAGCGAGGTGTTCCCCCCTAATTAAATGCCCTCATTTTCTTAGTGTGAGGCTTGGCAGGACTCCAGAAGTGAGCAAGCTTGAACCGAAGGGTCTGCTGCCAACAGTCTGTGTGATCTTAAACAAAAGCATAGGTCTCTGACCCACTGCCTTCCTCAGCCCCGGAAGGAAACAGGGCCACAAACTAGGAGTCCTTCACACACGAAATTGCAAATCCAGCCATCTAAGTGCTACTGACCTAGTGCAAGAAAATAGTCCAAATTAAGGGACTGTGGACGCTATTTTAACTTCTGGTCTTAGTGGTCATCAATCTTCATGAATGCAAACAAATATGTGTGCCCACCATCAAATTTAGATTCATACCTCTGGATTCTGGCTGGTGCTCAGCAGAAATTCTGGGAGCAGGGGGTGAGTAGCATGTAAGGAGCAGGCGGTATTTGAATGAGGGAATGATGTGGGGCTGGATTTCTGCCCCAGGCTTGAACCTTCTGTCCCACTGGAGCCATGTAGCTCCTTTTCTTCAAGTTCCCTCTAGTAATGCATGTCTAATTTGCATGTGTGTTTTTCATAGGAGCTGAATGGGGCGGGGGGGACAAGGAAAAAAAAAGAAGAGAAGACAAAGTGTTTTGAGAGAAAGAGCTATGGTTCTTTTGATTTTAGCCTATTTAATTGCCCACCACACCATGGATATGGCACAAACTCAGAATATCAGCTTCACACCTTCCAAAGGCTGTTTAAATCAGAATCCTTTTTTTTTTTTTTTTTTTGGCATTCATTTCAATAGCAGGCACATGTATGCAACCTAAGAGACACTGAGATGAGGAGAACCTGGCACAGGTCTGTATCAGGGCTCTTCTGAGAATAAGAAACTATTACATTTCAGATCCGTTATATGTGTGCGTGCTCTAGGCTACCAAGACTGCTCCTGAAATTTTCTTGACTAATCCTTTTGAAGCAAAATAGGTGACACCAGTAGTCATTTTATGATGAATTGTAAAATGCCTCACATGCTTTTTTTAACCTCTCTCTTTACTTACCTTCTTTACTTCCTTCCAGCAAATAAATGTGAGTGAGCGCTGTGGGGAAGCAGGTGCTGTTGACCAGGATGCTGCCCTTCGATGAGGTTCCTCCAAGAAGAGGGTACCTGTTTCAGGTCCCCATGTTTCATCTGTTAACATCTGTTATCTCGCATTTTGATTAGCAGCCCCTCTTTCGCTCTCGAAAGTATCCTAGTTTGGACGGGACAAAGGGGCACTTCACCGACGTGGAATGGGAATGGAATTCTGTTTCGGGGTCACATTCTTGCCCTTAGTGGTGAAATGTGGCCACAGGGAGGACCAGCCTGTGTCACATGTTTCAAAGTCATGCAGACCTGAGTTTGATTTTTGGCTTTGTCGACATTCTTTAGATTCATGAACGTGAGCAAATGACTTAATCTCACTAAGCCTCAAATTGCTCACTTATGAAATGGGATGAATGATAACCATTTATAACATATTATTAAATATAAAGCATCCAGATTAATGCTTGTAAGCCAGGGACTAAGTTAGAATTTCCTTTCCTTAATTCCTGCCCCCTAAGTATACTGGCAAAAATCTTTTCAGTTCTAAATTATGTCTTTATAGCTACACATCAATTCTGAGAGAAGTAATAAATCTATGGTGTAATGAAGGTCAGAGACTAGACTATCATTTCCAGTTCTGCCACTGTCTTAATCCCTGTAAGTTGTTTGCAAATTGTATAAGTTGTTTAATAAGTCTACACAACAGGATCATGATAGCAAGAAAGAATATTGAAAGTTTAGCCCTTTTTCTTTTTTAATGCAACAAGTATTTATTGATCACTCTTTATTAAATTCTGCTACTTGTGCCAGGAAGTGAATTATGTGAATTAGAATGAGAAAAGATGGCCCATGATCTAAAGGGATTTGACATTGAGTTGGAGAAGTTATAAATGGACCCAAATGCCATATAGTTTCTCCATCTCGGCACCATTGACATTTTTGGCCAGATAATTCTTGGTTGTAAGGAGCTGTCCTGTGCATTGCAGGGTGTTTAGCAACATCTCTGGCCTCTACCCACTAGATACTAGTAGACACCCCATCTAAGGCTAGTTGTGATGATTAAAAATGTCTTCATTAGGGCCAGCTGCAGAATTTTCAGAGCTTGGTGCAAAATGAAGATGTGAGTCCCTTATTCAAAAAGCAAGGAGAGGCCATTTAAAAATATATAATACGCAGCTTTTTCTTTTCTTCCACTTTCTCTCCCTTTCTCTCCTGACATACCACATGTTTTAAAAATTCGCTACTTAATGTCTTTCTAACAAGAAAAATTAAAACTTTGAATTATTAGGATGAATTTTACTGTTTATCTTATACTGCAGAATACCTGTTTTAATGCAAGTATAAAGAGCATGTATGTCATATGCAGAAACCCTGAAATTACACATATTTCATATTTCACTCCTACTAGGACAATGAACACGCCGCATAAAATATCTACTCACTCTCTCTACCTTCATCCCACGGCTGAGCAAGAAGGTCTGAAAAGAAGGGGCACTAGAAGTTGTTCTAACCTTCCGTTTTCTTTTTTGTCATTATTTGCAGGGTAAATGGTGGGCTGATCCAGGTAAACAACATGAATAAGAAAGAATATGATAGGGTTTCTCAGGAACTTGTGTTTCTTAGAATGACATTGTCTTCTTTTTGTACTCAAAGAAAGGCCAAACAGGAAGTGTGGCCTTTTGGATTTCTGCATGCCCTTGCTTACTCAGTCATTGGTGAATCACACTGAACTTGTACTGCCTTTGAGTCTTGCTGAACTCCCACTTACAGCACACCCACCAGAACACTGTGCTCATGGGGCATTGGGCCTGCAAATAACATTGGGATAACGAGGAAAGGCAGCCACACATACTGCACACATGCTACATCGTCCCATCAGACTTCACTTACAAAATGCAAGTGCAAAGATAAAATTATTAGAAATTATAAAGGTAACAGCAGAGCATTAAACCAGATATGGGGTCCTTCTAAACATGCAGCCCTGTGAGAATGCATAGGTTGCTCATTCATTGAGCGGGTCCTGGTCAGCAGACATTGCCAAGTGTTCCCTGGTGGACAAGATTACCCCTGGTTGAGAACCACAGGCATGAGGCACACACTAGACTATGAGTAGGGGCACAGTGAAAAAAATACCTTTGTAATGGATTTGAAATGTGTTATTTCAAATAACATATTTGAGAAGAGCAAGGATAAAAGTTTGGAAATTTCCTGAGCTCATTAATTTATAATATTCCATTTGTTCCCTTTGGTGAAATATGGTTTTGAAAATGTTTTAACTTCTTTTTCTAATGCATCATATTCATGGACTATATTTCATTTTGCCTTAATGAAAGAAAAAATTTTGTCAGTTCGTACAACACCAATTGAGAAATTATAACAACACTCGGTTAATTGTGCTTATATACAATATGTACTTTACTTACGTATGAAAAATTCCGAGCAATTCTATGCTTTCCCAGGAGATACATCGCACTGTAAAAACCCAAGTTTTTATATGTCATTAATCATAATATGGAGTAGCTGAAGTTACACAACGCTTTCCTTTTGTTACAGAAGTTTAACTGAAGAAATAATAATTAACATTAGCACAAGAACCTAGGCCATACTGAAAGCTTGGCATGGATATTGAGTGTAAATAGTAAATTGAAATATGGATGTGAGAAAATAATCAGATAACAAAGTTAAGCATCCTTTCCATTTCTTTGAATATTCTCTGCTAAACATAAACAGTGGTAGATGAATAGAGAACTAAATGAGAATTCAAAATACTCCAGTTTAAATCCCAGCTCCTTTTATTGATCTTGCTGTTTACCTCTGTTGTGATAATAAGCCTTATTCTGTACCCTCACAGGGTTGTGTTGTGAACATCAAACAAAATGTGTAAAGGAGCTTTATTAACTACAAAAAGTACATAATCATTTAGCAATCTGCTGTTAATGATTGCATCAGTTGGATCTGAACCATCTATTTGTAATCAAGTTCTTTATAAACTATCTCTGAGAAGATAGGTTGTATGTATTAGTCAGGATAAGTAGTGCAGGTTGCTGTAACAAATTATGCTCAAATTTCAGTAGTTTGGCACAAATATGTTTATTTCTCACTTGTGTTCCCATGTGATGTCTGCTGCAGATTAGATGGCTTTCCTATGTGGCTCTCCTGCAAACTGTGACTCAGGGACCCAGGCTCCTTTCATCTTGTGACTACTCCATCCTCAACATATAGCTTCTAAAAATACTGCAGCATGGAAATAGTGGGAGTGCAGAGGTTCATGCAGGGAATTTCTATAACCAGTCCTGGAAATAACATCTGCTCACACCGTGTTGCCTAGAATGCAATCAATGACCTCAAACTAACTGCAAAGGAGACTGGGAAATATATGTACCCAGAAAGAAAGAACAAATCTATCTATGCTTTGCCACATTCTGGGAATAATATGATGGCCCAATATATAATGTCATTTTTACTTCCTTATAAACTAGATCTCACCAAGGAAAATCTGAGGAGTCATTCTTTTCTTTTTTTTCTTTCTTTCTTTTTTTTAAATCTATTTCTTTATTTCTTAAATTTAAAAAAGTTAGATTTTATACAATCCATGATGTGAGGAGTCATTCTTTATCATTTAAAGTAATGTCTAGCTAGACTTAGGTTTGAGTATCAGGCTCTTTATTGCTAGATGGGTGAAGTAGTATGCATATTTGAGTTAGCCTTCAAAGAAATGTTTAAATAACATTTGATTATATTAATGAAATTCATAATATTGATTACAAATTTGTAATATATATCAGGCACAAATGTAGGGACTCTATGGAGGCCAGAATACACGCACACACACACACACATGCGCACGTGCGCACACACACACACACACACGTACACATATATATTTATCAGACCCCAACCCCTTATCCCAACCTCCAGCTCTAAGAACTATAAAGAATTCAGGAGTAAAAATTAGCCCCCATAAAACAACAGTGAACAAATGTGGGAAATCCACAATTAAGTGCTGAACTTTAAGGTTCTGACTATAAAGCAGAGCTTGCAAACTTTCAGCTTAGCTACTGAATTGATCTCATTTTGTTTGGACCACACAGTGTTTTGTTTTAAAAGTCTGAGCTGACATTTTAAAAATTGGAGGATTTTATTATAAAATTCTCTTGGACAAATAGAAAATCTGGCAACACTGGGCTGGTATTCTCCCATGGTAACCGGTGGAGCCTCATATGGTGGCTGGCCCCTTAGGATGGGGCCTGCCTCTTTTGTTCACCACAAGTCCCACCACTGTCTATTCCAGATGGACCCACAGTAGGGAATCATTAATTGCCATTTATCAGGTGATCACAATGTTTGTTTCTTTTTATTTAAGAACTATATCTCTATACTCATGTCTCCATCAAAATTAGGACATGAAAAATAGAATGAGAAATCTCAATGTGTCACGAAATATGGGAGTAGCTATCTCTTTGCGGGGTTGATGGATATTTTTAAACATTTACTATACAAAAAGAGTGTATCTGCATCCAAAAAGTATAACCTGCACCCCTTTTACATTACCAGCCTGGCCTGGTAGACACTTTAAAAAAAAAACAGCTTTATCGAGGTAATTTACATAACGCAAAACTCACCCATAGTAAGTGTACGATTCAATGATTTTAGTAAACTGTTTGAGATGTGTAATCATTACCACAATCAAAACTTACAGAGCATTTTCATCACCCCCAAAATTCCCTCATGTTCGTTTACAGTCATTCTCTATTCCCACCCTTAGCCCCAGGCAACCACTGATCTGCTTCCTTTTTCTATCCAAGACACATTTGAGTTTTCAAATCATATTCTGAGAGCCACAAAATTTCAGAAGACAGAGCCATCATTCCAGTCTGATAGAGGAAGAATTGCTTCATGAAGAAGGTGAGATTTTGAGTTTGTATATATGGTGACAAAAGAGAAAGGTATCTGGCGCTACTGTCATTTTTTACTTAACAGCAATTTGCAACCCCATGTTCTTCCATGGAATAATGGAACTATTCTTTGAATTTGTGACATGATAAGTTGAAATTTTAGGAAAAAGTACAAATTGTATCATATGGCTACATCTATGTATTTCATCATTTCCATTTGTAAGTAAAACAAGAAAAATTGATAACATATAAATCAAATGTCTCCAGGTGGCCTTTTCTTCTCTCCATCTAGTGGTGAATCACCGGGCCTTGAAGACCCAAAGC